TCAAGCACTCCACCCCGGCGTCCCGCTGCCTGCACGTGCAGGCACGTCTCTGCAGCGAGGTGGCTGTAGGCAGATCTCCAGAGCTGAGGAGACTGCACGGCCTGGTCCATGCTGGTTAGCTGCTGGTTAGCTTAAACATTTCTACATCTCGCCTCGCCTCTCTACACCGTAACCAAGACAGGAGAATTTTTCAGGCTGGATCTGTCCCGTCATTCTGTGTTTGTGCAGCCCCTCCACCAGCAGACCCTCATCTTGGTTTGGATTGTGAAGCTTTGCTGCAAAGCACATGGTACATGGTAATACGACATCACCTGCAGAGGAGGAGGGCTGCGTACAGCACCCAGCGCCAGCTGCTTGAGCTGCTGCACTGTCCCCAAACAGAGCAGAGAAATGCGTCTGAGATCACGACAATCAAAATTGCGGTTATATTTACATGTGTTTTCACATGACAGTATTTTCAAAGGAAAGGTGTTATACAGAAAAGGTAGACAGACTCATAACTAGCTTCATATTTTTCCAAACTTAAATATTATACAATGACTTGAACAAAATACTCTCCAATACTGGTACAATGCTCACTTAGAAGGAAGGGAGGCCTGTTACATTGCAGTCACAATCGCTTTTGGTCTGGGATTTTGTTAAACTGTGAGTGTGGCAAGAAAGAGTGAGCTGGGCGATGGGCTACAGACGTGATAATTGATTGGGTTGGGGGTGCACAGGAGTCATCCTCTCCTCAGCTCTGAGGAGATGGAAAGGTGAGAGCCGCTGGGCAGGGAGCCCCAGCCGTGCTGGGGGCTGTTCTGGGGGTCACGGCTGCCCAGGAGCTGTTGTCAAATGGGACATTTTCCCCAGGCAGCAGGGTCAGCTCTGCGAGGACAATCTGCATCTCAAAGCGCTGTGGCCACTGGTGGGTCCTTCTTGGGCTGCGTGTTTCAGTGCGCGAGCGTTCCTGCTCCATAGGCTCTTCTGTCCTCCATGCAGATGTGTTTCATTTTTAGATAGTGTCCTACCGCTCCGAAAATCAGCTCTGCCTGGCAGAGCTCTCGTTTCCCTGGCTAGCATGCAGATGTCCGTCACTGCACTATGGAAGATCTTTCCAAAACTGCTGTGATGAAAATACCTGGGTGCTTCAGGAGCTCTTCCTGCTCCACCTGATTCTTTGCAAAACCTTACAAAATCTTCAGTGTTCGTGAAAGAAATACAGGTTCTGTCTCATGGTGTTTACCAAGGCCTGACTCCCCTTTCTCTCCAAGTCAGTGTCCTGCATCAGTCTGTGGAAGCCTGTTGAGTTGTGCAGTGGGTGGTGGAAGGAGGCTCCGAGATGGTCCAGACAGAGTGACCCAGCAGCTACCTGGAGCATCCAGCTCCCCCTCGCCAGTCAACCGACCAGCTGATGCTGAACAGGCGCTTTCAGCTTCACTGCCCTGGCTCAGGGACCCCTCAGAGAGACACTGGCAGAGCTGCAGCAGAGCTGTAGGACAACTGTCATCATGCCTGGAGACCGGGGACCTGAACCTGCTGCCCCGGCTATGGCAGCAGTGGCTGCTCTCAGCCTGGTCCCCCAAGGCAGGGAGGGAGGGAGGGAGGGACACTGCCAAAGCTGCTCACTGGAGTGCAGAAACACCCAGTGTGCCCAGGGCCACTCTCCTGCTGATCTCACCCTCGTGCCCAGGGGACCCCCAGTCCTTCCTGCCCCTGTGCCAGGCACTGTGCCAAGCCACACCGGCAGCGTGGCTCTCACCACCCCGACAACCCCAGCAGCATCTGCCCCCATCCAGAGCGGTGGGAGCAGGGCAGGCTCCAGCCTCCCACCGTGTCTGGGCACTGAACGGGACAGTGATAGGAACAAAACGGCACAGCCGAGGGGCCGGAGCACCCTCGTGCCCCCAGCTGCAGGATGGCACTGCTGGCTTCTGCCTCCTCCCCCCTTTAGGCTTTTATAGGCAGCAGTCGGGGCTCGATGCACACAGGGGCACAGCGGGATGTAAAGCTAGCGAAGCACTGCTTGTTATCTGTGCTCCTGAATGGCATCGAGCCTTTGGGAGAAATACTGATAAACTGAGCTAACGCTTCGCGGCAGAACCTGTCTTCAGCTTATCCCGATGTAAAAACCAGTATACCTCAATGGGGAGCCATGGGAACGTGGGCAGAGACAAGCTGACCACATTCCAGGTCATAATAGTCACATTGGGCAAAGGCATCTATTTTTTTTTAATTTTGTTTGGGTTTATTTTGTTCCTTTAAAAATTTCCTTTACTCTTTTTCTCAGCCACTTTATAGTTTTGTATTTTGTGTCCTGAGCTCCTCACTGACATTTTCGTGTAAAAGCTTCAGGACAAAATCTGCTTCAGAGCTGTCAGAAGTCTGCAACAGCCAGGTCACTGCAGTCACTGTGCACACACACGTCTCCAGAACACGGCCCTTTATTTCACAATGTCTAGCTCACCTGTACAGAAGGAAACATCGGCTATTTCTTGGAACTTCACATCAAATTCATCAGCTCTCATCACAACAGATGGACCCAAAGTATCAGAGACACTGGGCCAATTAGCAGATTAAAGGTTTCTGTATCAAATACATCTGTGCTATACTGACGCTGTTTTTAAACAGAGAAAACGGGAAATAATTCAAAATATCTTTACTTCTCTTAGCCATGATCTAGAGGCCTGAGTCCCATAATCCAATTATTTTAATTTTTCTCTTTTTTGCAACATAGGCCATGATCCAGCAGAGCACTTAGGAACATGCTTTATTTTAAGATTCTAAATAATTGCTGTAAAATTGTACCTGGGGGCGTGTAAGTGCCCTTTTGAATCAGGACCAGACTCTTTAACTCCCAAATGAATACACAGTTTCCAGCATCAGAAATGAGTTGGTGAATTCAGTTAATAAGGAGGAATTTTATCTTTCAAAGTGTTCTGTGATATTCCATGCAAAGTACTGAAGCGACGATGACTTGACCACTTATTTTGCAGCTGTGCACAGTAAACCTCCGTGCCCGAGAGACAGACCTCTGCTGTACCGTACCAGAAACCCCCAAATTTCCACCAGTGAGATTCAGCTCACAAAACTGCATCCTTCCCTTCCTGCGAAACCTGAAGAGGTCTGCTCCACGACGTTAAAAGTTTTATGAACGCTCCGACTTCGGGCAGTGACCAACTCTAGTTTTGATGACAGAAAAAGAAATAAATAGATTTGATGTCCCTATGGTGAAGAAAGTCTCTTCTTGCCCTACAGGCAGTGTGGTGGCACAGAAGACAACTTCCCAAAGACAACGTTGGACTTCCCCCGTCCCTCAGCTGAGGCCACTGACGCATTTGTAACAGAAAATACCATCGATGTTCCCGTCTGCTAGGTAGCTGCCGTGCTCTTCTCATGGCTGGCTGCGCTTCAGCGGAGCATAAAAGCATCTCTGTCCCTCCTCGGTGCGACGTGCAAGGCTTCACGTAAGATGCTTTGAGATCCTCAGCTGGCAGGAGGCAGGAACGATTAGTCCGATTATCTGCCGTAGCGCCCCGACTGCCCCAAAACGACCCGCGCGCCCCACGTCAAACGGCAACGAGCGCTGGAAGGTGCGTTACAAACAGCTGGGTGTTACGGGGTCCCGCGGGAGGAAGGTTGGGGTGACTGGTGGAGTCATCGAATGAAAGACCAAGACAACCATAAGCAGACATACATATATAATATGTACAGTGGCCATAGATGCATTCGCACCATGAAGGAAATCATCACATTTCAGACGGCAGAAAAGGATCAAATTCCAGATATTTTTTAGTGGCAGGTGTCCCTGTCTAACTTGCTAGTAAAAAGAGAAGGAAATGTCCAAACGTGGGTGGAATGAAGTGGTGCAGCTGGCAGATGCAGTATTAGTTCTTCACTCTATTTCAGACGAGAAATGCAGAAGTATTCTTGCAGTTTGCTCTACATGCTGCGGACAGAAAATTATCTCAGCAGTGTTTGGTTTGGTTTGTACCTTTTCTCTCACTCTCTTCAGCTTCTCCAGTAGAGCCACCAGTACCAAAACACGGAGCTAAAGTACTAGTAAGTACTAGAATCTAGTAAGCAGAAAATCCCAAGCCTCTCTGTAGGGATTACGGGATTCGGGCTTTGAGAGCAGACTGAGATAAGGCAGTGTAAGGAAAGCCCTGAACCTACCGAAATGCTCTCCACGTGGTTTTCAGTCTGTTGTCTGTGGATTTTTACAACTCTCTGGAGTACTGCTAAGATATCTCCAAAAAGCATCTGAGGAAATTAAGCCCATTACCACTAAGCTTAAATTCACGGTGGAGGAGGCTGAACCTCTGTAAGAAAACTATTGTAGGGTCCCTAAGTTGTGAGAAGTTGAAAACTATTGCTCCAGTTACCAAACCGGGCTGCCAGTGAGTCTGTGCAGCGACTCGATTCAATATATTTATTCCTGAAATTCAAGGTTGTGAGAAAAGGAACTAAGACAGGAGACTGCACGCTGGTAAAACCAGCTGGGCCATACGCAGTGTTAAAGGACTCCCCGATATTCCAGCTACAGGCACCTACAAACACTACACTGGGCTGGATTAATTATTGGCTCCCACAAGGGGCGAAGAATGAACTTGGGAAAGACAGGGAGATGAAGATGACTATCATCAGCAGCTGGATTTTTCCTTTGCTAATGTTCCTGCTCACTAAACTGAAGCTGCTGGCTAGAACTGGGCTTTTGAAAAGACTGAAATCCTTAGCAAGACTGCCAAAAGAAAAGTGTGCTCCCCACATTCCTGTAACAAGGACCAGGCTGTTTGCAATCCAAACCGTCTAAAAATAAAAGGAAAAAAAAATCAGAGTGCTGTATGTTGGTGCTGCTAACCCCTCTGGTGTCGTCCTGGGGGGGAAGGCAGGAAGTCTACTCAGCAGTGTGTGTGTGGGGCTCTCGCCCTGGGGATGGAGAAGGGGCCATGTCAGAACATGCACGTCACTTGGGCTGATTTCTCCAAGCCTTGTTCAGTGAACACGTCACCTGGGACGTGCTACAATATTGTGGCTCCGGCAGCATCCACGCTCCTGGGGTCCTTCAGGCCAATGATGAAACTGTTGGTTCTCCTGGCTCCATGAACTAAGGAGACCACTTTGACCTTATCCACTTGATGGCCCCTGGCTACAAGAAATTCAATGTCTTCTTCAGGAAACTCACCTGTAGGGATTTTAAAAGAGGAGTTTGTAACTGAAACCACTGTTGCCTTTGATGCAAAGCTCTGTTCTAACCTGGTTGGGATCTGCAGTGGGAAGGAAACTGCCTGCACCCTCTTCGTACGGTGTCCCAGCTAGGGCAAGCCAAGCAGCCGAGGAGGACCAGTGCTCCCCACTCCGAGGAGTGGTCCTTCAGCTCTCAGCAGCAAAGGCTGGGCAGAGCTGGGCAGTGCTCTGCGCGGTGGGGGAAACGAGAGGATCCAGAAGACCATTTAAAGATGTGGAAGATCCTTCTCTTTGGAAAAAGGGGAAAATACGTTGTTGGCACCTATTGTAGTTATTCTTACAGAACACGAGGCAGCCCTTGCTCTTAAGAGCTTGGTTACAAATAATAGTATTAATAGTTATTAGTCAAAGTAAGATGCAAGGCAGCTCAAAACAAATGACAGTAAAACAAGGTGCCAAATGACAAACTTGGTGATAAGCCTTCCAACTTCCCCTTCCTATTTCTTAATCTTCCAGCCGTCTACCCTAGGCTGCTTGCTCTTCTGCTTTTATTTTGTTTATTTGATGTTTTGTAACTTCGGTATGAATAGAAGTGCCTGAGGAGGCGAAGCTGGGGATGCAGCTGGACAAACTGAGCAGGCAGACAGAAACCCCCCAGTTATCCAAGCTACAATACATTGCAGAAGGGTCTTAACAGATGTCTTCTTGATGCCAAATGTCCAAACCCACAAATTAGGACCTTTTGAGGTTTTGGGTTTGTTTTCATTACGTTCTAGTTTCCAAGTCTGCAGGTCACACTTAACAGACATTTTTACATTTTCCTCTGAAATGGGAAGGCCTAGAAACTTTGGCTATTTTGTGTGAAACGAGCCCCAAATTTCACTGATGGTTCACTCTGGTTAGGTATGGGGCTTTGTGAAAAACACCAAATAGACCAAGACATGTAATAACAAGGACAAGAGCTGGCAGTACAGTCTCCAGAGCATCAGCATTGTTGCTGCATTTCCAGCACCATCAAGCTGCAAGCCTTGCCATAAGCCTTGTCTTCTCCCCAGCTTGTGGAGCTAAGGGACGCAGACTGGAAAGTGAAAGAATATAATTTATGGCAGTGGTACTAAAATATAGACAGACCTGCTAGTTTTGAGGACCTGTCTGGGTGGTTGCAATCTTGTTTGTCTGGATATCCTCAACGGCATCAGATTGCCAAAAGGTTTTAAGGACAGGACAAGGCTGCTACCAGGGGGTGAGCTGGGACAGAGGGATGGTTGGGGAGAAGCACCTGAAAGAGTTTGGACAAGTGGTGTTGGAGGGGCCAGGGAGCATTCCCAAGACAAGAGGGAGAGGGCATGGCTCAGCAAGGGCCCCAAGCTTTGAAGAAGCTAAATTGCTGCTTTTTGTCTTCCCCCAAACCCTCTGCACCCACTGGGGACCCTAGAACCTGGTGAGCTGTGCGCTGGGCTGTCGCACTTCCACAGCAGTGTGTACGAAAATCCTGCTGTTTTTGTAAACACGCTATGTTTGTAGGCTGCACCGCACCCAGTGTCCGTACTCACTGTCGACCTGCAAGGTGTTGGACCAAAGCTGTGGGTGAAGTCGACCAAGTGACAAACTTTCACTCAGATTCTTGTTGAATGTTAAAACATTTACCAAAACCTGCAAGAGAATAAAAGATCCCCACTAACAAAGAAAAGTAATGAGAATAGGAGAAGCCAACTTCCCGAACGTCCCCCTAATTGGTGGCTCCAACATCTGCAGACGCAGCAGGCAAAGAAGATTTTGGACTGTTTACCAAATTGCATGAACTAATGCACACACAAAGAGGCCCTTGAAATATGGCCTGTATATTGTTGGTGGAAAAGCGGTACCTTTTCAGGATTGTATGGGCTTTTTGTCACACAGATCCTGCTAAATTAGGAGAGCTGTGTGTCTGCAACGTGATGTAATCTCTAAATACGTGGTTGGTACAGCCAAAAGCTCAGCACGTGACTTCTCCAAACAAAGCATCAGGAAGCAATGGTTGGCTTTAGTTTTGCTCTGAATAATGCCTTCCAAAAGGTGAGGAAAATGGGAGCCATTCTTGCTGTGTCTTTCTTTTTAGCAATCCATTGCTGTCAAGCTGTTGTCAATCAAGCTATTGGCAAGTACTTCACCTCATTACAAATCAAAAATTAGGAGGAGCTGCCCAATTTATAGCAAGTGCTGAGCAGGGAGGAATTCAGTCGGGAATGCACTAAAAGGAGCTTTTCATATGGAAAAGGGCTCACCGGCTGCCGGTCTCCTGCAATTCTCTGAATACAAAATGCTCCTTTTTTTTCCTAATTTCCTAATGATGAGCTTTGAACAGGTATTAGAATGACACAAATCCATTACAGATTTTGCCAAATGCTTTTCCTCTACAATTATGAGCATTGCCACCAGGAAAGATGCCAGAGAAGTAAACCGGTAGCTCTCAGTGATTTCAAAACCCAAACGTGTGGAACTGATGACATCAAAGACTGAACTGGTAATCCTGTGGTCACCAGTTTCAACACAGCCTGGGACATTAGGAAGGGAAAGCCTGTTCTGAAGAAGGGGACCCTGCTCCGCGTTAAGCTCACGGGTGCCCGGACACAGCACTGACCTGAACGATGCTGCTCAAGGCTTTGTCCCCGTTGTTGCCCCCCAGACATAGGTACGTCCCGCACATCCCCTCGGATGGTCTCACGATGGTGGGCAACAGGAAAGACAGGGGCCGTTTCCGAGGCTGAATGACATTTTGCTGCAGTTGAAGAAAAGACACACCGCAAAAATTTCAACAAGCCGACTACAGCTTTGCTGGTGCTCAAGTTGTGCAGGTCAGTGTCTCACTCTTTACCTTCAGCCAGCAGTGGCACTTGCGTAGTTTTACAAGGCTGACATCCTCCCTGCTATGACAATACTCTCTGATGTTAACAGCATCCACCCCGTTTCACGCCGTGGCTCTTTTACAGACGGTACACGGAGCCGTTCACCCACTTCTGAAGCACCACCACCACAAAGTGGGATGGTTTTACAATACATGGCAAGAGGAAACAACAAGGCAGCACTGGAAGCCACCAGTACTGGTCTGTTATTGTTTCTTTGCAAGACCTGAAGATTATTTTTCTGCTCTCTGTTACTTTTAAACCTGTAGAGCAGCAATTCATAAAGACAGTCCTTAATTCAAGTCTACAAGGACGGTTGCTTTAAAGTGCACCTGGTCTGCAGGGAAAATAGGTAACTGAGATGTGCAGCATCGTTTGATAAAATCACATTATAATGATAACTGATACACATGAAGCCTTCTGTTTACTCTCTTTCAGTGGCTCATGTAATGAAAAAATAGGAGCTTTTGACAGACTGTTGTCTCTCAGTTATTAATAAGGCATTAAATAGCCTCCCTGTTGGGGAGATGAGAATAAAATTGGAAAAAATGGTACAGACAGATCAAATAAAGAATTTGTAGTGTCATTCATTACCAGCCTGGGAATGGAGTGGTTCATTGTTTTATTTTGCCAGAAGTCCAACATCTGGCTGTTCAGGAGGATTCCAGAAGGTGTCATGATTCCACTGCCAAATGGACGATTCAATGAACTGAAAAGGAACATGAAGAAATCTCATCAAAATCCTCCTAGAGAATTTTGTACACCTCAAGGCTTTCAGGGCTCCCATTTTCTGTCCCATCTTGGCTTGACAGAGACTCTTCGGTCATTCTTTAGGGCGGGTTAGGTGTGAGGAGTGAAAGTCTCCGTGTACTTAGGAGCAGGAACCACGTGGGCGATAGCAGCTCCGTCCCTCCCTGCGTTTAAGGATTCCCCTCTAGGTGATGGACCTGCCTCCATGCCCCCATCAGTCCTCAAATCTGGCCATCACCTCTTCTCCAGGAAGCAGATTGAGGCCAATCCAGACATGTTTCACTGTGAGAGGGCAGTAGGACTGCGCAGGGCAGAGCACCACCAGCTCAAACATCTCCACCCCGTCTTCCCCATTTCTCCTGCTGCAGGACTAACCAGGAGAGAGCAGCCCAGCTGCTCCAGGTCTGGTCCCATCCCATCGTGTTGAACCTGCTTTCTTCTCCCTGCTCCCACCCTCTGAGTACATTATGGAGGGAAGAAGTAAGTCCTTTACCTTACAACTGCAACAATGAAGTCATCGGGTCCCATGACAAGGACCTGGCTAGCAGCGGGTCCGCTCTCCACGGAGAAGTGAGGCACGTGGAGATCAGACGAGAAGGACTGGGAGTCGTTAATCAGCTGGCGCAGGGAATTAGCTTCTGATTTACTTCAGCAATGAGGGAGAGAAAGAGAAAAGACAGCCATGAGCCCAGGAAGCTGAACATCTCTTGGTCTCTCTGTGGGGGCACGTCTACAGAGCTGCCAGCGGTGGCTCCCTAAGGGGGCTAGCACTGAGGACAGGGAGCTCCTTTGGATCTCCTGATGGAAGGAGACACGGTGGTTCAGTCTGCACAGAGAGGCAAGTGGACCTCCCAGGCTCTGTCTGCAGTGGTAAACGCACCCTCGATGAAGAACGAGTGGCACCACCCGGCTGAACACCGGTCCTCCAGGAGGAGGGCAAGTCAGGTCCAGCTCTGGCCACCAACCGTGGATAAACCTGGCTCTGAGAGGGGAGGCTGGGCTGAAACCCCAGGCCTGGCCTCTCCCGCGTGCCTGGGTGTACTGCAAAGGCACCGAACCCCACGGGGAGGAGGGGGAGACAGAAACTGCATGTGTAGTCATGACCACACGGTGCTTTTGTCCGACCTGCTGAAAAGGAGTATCTAGAGGGGTGAGAAGGTGGGAGGAACCCTCAAGATCAAGCTGGCTCCAGCAAACCTCTGTGTAAGGACATCTTACAACCCAGTCCCAAAGACCCGTGGTATCACTCTTGTGGAAGAGTGAGCCCTAGGAGGACACTCAAGGACTGACCTTTCCTCAGTAAAACAGGTAGAAAAACCTCAGGTTTCTCTGTGCACTGAAAAGAGCAAATCCAGGAACGATATCCAAACCACACATCTAGCAACTGTCACCGTGCCTGTCGGCCTCAGACCTACCTCACCATGCCTTCTGCAGCGTGCGTGACGGACACATCATCAGATGGGTCTCCCAGGTTGCCAGCCAGACTCAGGGCTATTTTTAATGTCTAAATTGAACACACAAAGAAAGAAAGAAGGAAAGAAAGAAAAAAAAAAAAAGAAAGAAAGAAGGAAAGAAAGAAAAAGAAAGAAAAACATTTAGGTGGCCCTGGAAATACAACTTTTGATACTCCAAACAGGAAGAGGTATCTGGTCTCCCGGCATGTTGGCTAAAGCCTATGAAGAAAAACATCTAAAAGCCTGATCCTGGGAATACCCCAGTGCAAAAGGCTGCCACATGTGGGCAAGGGGACCAAAGGGCATCAGTCTGGCGTGGCCAACTGTGTGTCGGGGCAGCCCAGCGTATCCAGTGGTGTTTGCACAAGGTGGAACATGCCTGGCAGGAGCTGACCAGCTGGCTCAGCCCAGCTCAGTGGTTCAGCTGTGTTGCCAGCTGGCAGACAGGGTCACCAGGATGCCACTTGCTTTCTGTTTCCGTTCCTGAGTAGTCACCACAACAGCAGAGATGACACTGAACCCCACTGGGACAGTGGGTCCTGGACTTGGCGTTGCCTCCGGACAGCAGCTCTGCTGGCACAGCACCACCGCCGAGCAGAAACGAGCTGTTCTGCTCACCAGCTGCTGCCCACGTTGCTAGTTGTAAGTCATTCAAAGCGTTTGAACTGGAAGCGCTAGTCCCAGCACACTGAAGGGAACGATGGTGTAAAAAGAGGAAGGGATCTGGTTTCTCCTACGTGCAGAATCCTGCCTAAGCCAGTCCATTAAAAACGGGAAGATGCAATATCAAGCGACACAGTTAATCGAGCCCTGGTTTTACAGCACGTAGCCAGAGGACAGCCACAAGGAGAAACGTGCTCTTTAATCAAGCCAGCTTGTGCCTAGCAGAAATGCACTAGACCTTCAGCTTGCAGGTCATGCCGTTGTCAGTCAAGATTCAAGGCAGTACGTTACCCTGCAGGTAGACAGCTAGATGTGACTTCTGTTTTGATATGGGCCACGCATCAACAACTTCTCCTGAAGTATCATTTGTCTTCTGATGTATAGTGTAGAACATGATTAACTGCTAGAGAAGGTGACATTTCCATGGAACAGTCTCCTGACCACCATACCATATGGAGGATGTACAAGAGGCTTGGTGGCCAGGAAAGAGCTCCACTGACACAAGCAGACCACGTCCACCCCACAGGCACATCTTGGTCATGGCTGTCCCACAGCTGGACTACCTGATGCTGACCTAGCACTGAATCTCAGCCATGTCTTCAGCTGTGCAATCCCAAGGAATTAGGGTTACATATCTTCTGAAGTGACTGCCCTTTATCTGGAGGTTGCTGTTCCTCAGCTGGGACACGATAACCAATGGGTGAAACTCTTGGCCCAGTGCAAACGCAGAGCACATAGATTCATCCAAATCTTCCTGAAGAGAGCTCAAAAATAACTTAGGTGAGTCAACCTTCTCTGCCTCTGCGCAGGCCTAGCAGCGTGTAACACCTCCAGTTGTTGCATATTTGCTGAGAGGCAGTAACTTCCAAGCACCCACTTGCTTGGTTGTTACATCCTTGCTTAAAATTCCCAACTTGTAAAACCCAGCTGTGGACCTGTTAAACATCTAAGAACATAACTGTGCTGACGGAGGAGGAAATGGAGCACTCGCTTGACTTCCTGGGAAGCTGCAACGTTTTTGTAGGGCTGACAGCCCTAAATACTGGAAAAATCATGATCTGGACCACTGAGATCATGAGGTAGGCTAAAATGTAAAGATTTTTTTTTAAAAATAGAAAGTGTTGGGCCAGTTTTCCTTGTCGATGCCACGTATAGGTGTTTGCTTGCAGCACCACGTTGCTGACCCTCCTTGCAGTGCCCCAGCAGAGCTCCGGTATGGTCAGGGCCACGGAAACGTTAAGAGGTGGAGGAAACAGGTGGGACCCCCCTCAACTGCTGCGGGGTCATTCGGAAGAGATGATCACATACAAGAAACAGCCAAAAGCCACAGTTCCTTGTTCCGAAAAAGCTCTGCCTGAGCAAGAAAGAGCTCAGCTGAGCAGGAGGCTCCAGCATCTGAACTACCTGAGGCAGCAGCAGAGCTCAGATTTACACCTCAGCAGTCTATTTGCTTGTTCTCCTCTGGGAATTACCTACAAACATTTTTGTACAACGAAGGAATACATAAATGATGCTCTAGCAGCACAAGAAATTCAGCCAAACGTTGAACCTCCTCTTACCTCTGCCATCCAGTGCAAGATATTCCCCCTGGCTACTTGACTTGTGATGTTAAAGCCCTCCAGGATGTTCAGTGCTGTGATCAGGGCAGGACCTGCATGTGGAGGTGGGGGACTGAAAACGAGATGACCTGTGAAGGCAAGGAGAGAGCAGTGAAGCTGTTTTTGTCGGATACTGTCCAGTTATAATGCTTTCCCATACACCCGTGTCCTTGAGGACAGGGAAACCTTTCCAGATTTGAGGGGAAATAATGGAAAGCAATGTGATTTGAAAAGGATTTCCCAAAGCATTCCTGTTGTATCCTTCTGTTCCTTTATGAAGGATGAAGGAAGCCCAAATAGAGCCGCTTTCTTTACACCTGGAACTCAGTTCTCGTTTGTTGGCTGGCTGGTTTCCGGACTTCAGTACGGAAGAACGGAGATAAAATGAGTTTCCAACATTACAGCTCTAAGGAGAGTAAATACAGGGATGTCGAGAAAAGAATGACACTTCAGCAACTTTCAGCATAAAGTAGGTTTTTCTCCCTTGTAGATCAACTTTGGGAACTGCCTTCAGACGTAGGTGCTAGCCTATGGCCCAGCTTGTATCTAGACATCGCATCAATACGTGATCGCGTTGCATCTTTACACTCCAACGCTATCAAAATACCATCGGTCACTCTCAAGGAAGAAAAAGGCCATTTCCAAGTGCTGGAAACCTCCTGAAGTGCCTGTGATGCACCAGTGCCAGTCGGCAATAGCAGGAAAGTCCCTGGAGGCTCTTTTGGAGAGGCCTCAGCGCAGCTTTGACTTCAACTCCTGTTAAATACTGTCACCACCTCTTGCCAGGAGAAGCAAACTTTTAACGGGAGTTGCCTGGCAGCGGGTCAGGCGTTTACCTCGATAGACTGTGTGGACGGGATTCTGCACCGTGGCACTGTAATTGCTGAAGTCTTCCTCCACCAAGACTCCTCCGTAGCTGCGGACCTGCGTAGGAGAGCAAAGCAGCGCGCGCTGACAAAGCTGGGTCAAGGCTTTCTGTGCTCCTCATGCTGGCCCAGGTGAAAACACACCTCACTGTCACACAAATACCACTGAGATTCCCGAGCCAAGTGCCAGATTCCTTGGGATACCCTGAAAATCTGTGCTTCCATGGTCTTGGTGGCCTGGCTCACCCTTCACCACCATGGGAAGGCTCTGCAGCTCACCTCCAAAAGCTCACCCACCCCATGGGTGCTCTGAAGACGTTCTGCCTACCCATGAGGACTATGCATGATGGGGACTGGAATTGCCTCACAGCCTTCTCTCCCCTGGCTGGCAAGCACGAGTACGTTAAAGGTTATGAAGCGTGTGAAAACTGACAGGATAAAAGACATATATGGATCCAGGAGAGAAGGAACCATCACTAGAAATCTCTTAGCATACAATTCCATAGCATCTCTAGCATACAAGCCACAACTTCTCTGGGCAACCTGTTCCAGTGTTTCACCACCCTCACTGTAAAGAATTTCTTCCTTATATCTAATCTAAATATGAAAGAGGGGAGATTTCGATTAGATATAAGGAAGAAATTGTTGACTCTGAGGGTGGTGAGGCACTGGACCAGGTTGCCCAGAGAAGTTGTAGATGCCCCATCCCTGGCAGTGTTCAAGGTCAGGTTGGATGAGGCTTTGAGCAACCTGGTGTAGTGGAGGGTGTCCCTGCCCATGGCAGGGGGGCTGGAACTAGATGATCTTGAAGGTCCCTTCCAACCCAAAGCCTTCTATGATTCTATTCTATGAATTGACATCCTATTTTTAATTATTTCAGGTGACAGTGGGTCTGCTGTACCCTTGGCCTTTCTGTAAGACTCTCCTAGAGGTACAATTTACTGGGCTTGGTAATTTGAATGAACACAGTAAAGATGGATAATTCCCTCCATTGGAGGTCTTCTGTGGTTGAGTCATGATGAACATGAGGTAGGACCATCGTAACTGCACTCAGCTCATCTTAAAATCCCCTGAAGTAGGTAACTCTCTCAGTCAGCGTACAGGTCCTACTGCACTCAAGGGCCAACTCTTTCCTTCCACCCAGGAGAAGCCACACAACCTGGTGAGAGTTTCTACTGGGGTGACTTGCTGCTATGAGTCCTCTGGATTTCCACATTTTTCTTGCCCATCCAAAAACGGGCAAGAACAAATAACCCGTGCCTGCTCTGATTTCTCAACTAGCCAGCTAGCTTGGCAAGAACACCCTCCTCT